ATTCGTACGTTACGACCAACGTCGAAGCATCCGTGTCTGCCATGTCGAAAGTAACTAATAACGCGTTCGATATTGTGTTATAATCGCGAACACCTCTCGACTTCGGTTATTCCGAGCACGTGCCTTCTGCGAAATGTTAGTTGGTGACATTTGTTTGTTCCACAAGTTTATTGTTCAACAGAAGAATTGCATTTAAAGCGAATATGGAACAAAAAATATTCCTGCAGACAGAGCGTCCAGATAAACTTTTAAATTTAACTCTATTTTTTTTATTATCCAGATATATTTCTGTGATTTTTTTTATCATTACGTAAGACAATTGATGATGGAAACCTCACAATTATTTTAATTATTTTTATTGAGCAAATGTATCGAATTGCTAATTTGTTTTGTACAATAATGTAAATTTTTTTGTCTAATAAAAATTAATAAACGGTATAATGTACATAGCAGTTTCGAGTAGTACTTAAAAGACAAGGCGACAGCTGAAAATTGATTTTAAATCCACCAGTCCAACAATATTGATGCAGCAATAAACTTGGCGAAAGCTATATTCACATTTTCATGACATTTGGTTAGATGGCGTGCAAAGATGTGGATGCTTGATTTGATACGTATGTTTGAAATGATTTTAGTGTACTGAGTTAGATAGGAGAAATTACTTAGAAATCAGTGCGTAAATAGTATGTAAATGAAGACGAAACAAGACCTTAGGTAAGAAAACACAGGATGGAAAAAGTGTACAAGTAAAAGAGGTTATGGCGTCATAAGGAACGAGTAGTTAGGATAGTGTAGGTAATGTAGACAAGTTTAAATTAGTATGGTAATGCAGAGAAAATTATCGATAGAGGAAATGTATAATAGGTGGTAATAGAAGACAGAAGTACATAAGGAATGGAGGGAGAAGAGGATACAAGAAATGAAGAGGAAATGTTCCGTCATCGGATGGGATAAGGAAGCAAAATAAAGGTATACGGAAGAAGCATGACACAAGGACTGATGGCACAGGTGCTGCGCAAGTAAGAAGGGTGAAGTGCGAAGAATAAGAAGATTATAACATATGGGAAACTACTTCTTGGCGATATAAGCTGAAGGAGACATGCAGGAAATAAAAAAAAGTAAAGGAATCACTTCACAGAGTTAGTAAGAAGTATAGAATGGAGTAATGAAACTGATAAAATATAAAAGAGAATTTGGGGGGAAAAAGGGGAGAAAAGATTTATATGTATCTATCTGGGTACATTTATGATGAAAATATACTGAATTAATTAATCATTAAATTTGCATCATGCAATAATGTGAATTTTTTTATCGACTGGTAAAATTGCTTCCGATTATACGAGATACGCCTGGTTATCTGGGCGCCGAAAGTCACTCGCGTTGTTAGCCACGCTTAAAAACCGTTTACGTAACGTCCCTCTAATCGGAATACGATGATTGATCGATGCAATTCAGACGAGCCTTCCAATCTCCGTGCGAAAAATGAACCTTCCTCTAAGACATGTAACCGTAATCCGCTCGCGCAGCATAAAGTAGCCGGCGGTCTTTCCAAAAGCAATTACTGGAAGCAATTTGCTCGTACTTTCAGGGGAGCACTGTAAATTAGCCGCGGCGAGAGTACCGGCGTCGCATGTGACGTGCACGGTACACGTAATTTCCTCGTCGATTATGTTCCAGCAACATAACAGCGCTTCTGTCAGTTTCCTGCCCAGGCATGGTACGAAACCATTCGGTCTGGCTGAAGAAGGACGCCGGAAGCGCCGTGGAAAAGGGCCGGAAGTATCCTCCCGGCGCGGGAAGGACCAGACCTACGACATCCCTCAAAGGACCGTCGTTGCCTTCTCTCCCCTCTTTCTCTCTCTCTCTCTCTCCTCCCTTCCTCTCGTCATCACCGCACCCCTCCGCAAGCTCGTTACCGCCGAACCGTGTCGTGAAGTATAGCACTACAAAGCGAGGTACAACTCTCGACCGCACGCGGTCCGCTCGACAAGCGCGTCCCTAGTAACGCCGCCCCAAGCATCTCGTGTGTGTCGTCAAACATCAACGACGTCGACAATCATGACAACGACGACGACGACGGCAATGGCAGCGACGATCAACAACAGCGACCACCGTGCAACGACTCCCACGTCGAATCCCGTCGACCTTTCGAAGTTCATAGGAAGCGGCGCACGTCCTACGTATGGTCTTACGATAGTGTACATACACAGACTGAACGAACGTTTTGCTCGAGGTGGGAGAGACGGAAAGAGGGAAAAGGTCGGGCAACGCGGTGAGGGGAAAGAGGGGGCACAAAAGAAAGAAAGAGAAGGAGAGCGAAATCGTGTCTATCGATGTTCGACTATCTTCCAAAGAGCGTACGACGACTTCAGGTACACAAAGCGGCCCTACCATTGAATCAGAATTAAAAGAAAAGGCGTACCTCCCGTCTGAAAGCAGTCGAGGAGTGAGAGAGAGAGAGAGAGAGAGAGAGAGAGAGAG